CAGAAGAGGGGACTCTCAACAAGTACTTTAAGCCGACGGGCGAAAAGGTCACGTACAGGACGTTCAAAGTGTTCGCTATTAACGATAGCATCAAATGTATGACAGCCAGAGCTAAAGAGATACTCAAATGGCGTAATTACGGAGGAGTACTGTTGATGGGCTACGAAATGTACCGCATATTGACGTTAGATAATAAGGCGAAGTCCAAGAAGGACGAGGACATCGACCCCAAGATATTGGACAACATTAACGCCGAAGTGAAGGCGTCGCTAATAGATCCGGGACCCGATCTGGTGGTGTGCGATGAGGGCCATCGCATCAAGAACTGCAACGCAGCCACCAGTCAGGCCCTGAAGAATATTAAGACAAAGCGGCGCATTGTGTTGACGGGATATCCGCTGCAGAATAAGCTGATGGAGTACTGGTGTATGATTGACTTCGTCCGTCCCAACTATCTCGGCCTTAAGGGCGAGTTCACTAATATGTTTGAGCGCCCCATCACTAACGGCCAGTGTATAGACTCGACGCCATACGATCGGCAGATCATGAAATACAGGGCACATGTGTTGTATCAGTTGCTCAAAGGCTTTGTTCAACGGTATGTTTCAAAGAATCAGCATTTTTGTGACGGATTTAGTATTTTGAATGATTGAAAATTGCTTTTTTCCCACTTTAGTCGAAGTCATTCAGTGCTTCAGAAAGCACTTCCAGCCAAACAGGAGTATGTGTTGATGTGTCGCATGACTGCACTGCAAAAGGATCTGATGCTGGCGTTTCTGGACACCGCTATCAACGATCCGGACGCCATCGGAACAGTGAAGGGCCGGATCTCGACGTTAACGCTGTTCGCCGTGTGCTGTAAGATCTGGAACCATCCCGACATTGTCTACAACATTGTCCGCAAAGGCATCACATCAGAAGATCTCGACTTAGATATACCGACCAATAAGAAGAATAATAACACTAAGAAATTAGCGAAGAATAACAGTAGAAAGCAGTCAAACAACGAATTAGCGGTTCCAACAACCAATTCAAAGACGGGCGACCACTTGCCGCCACCCAATCCATACTCAACTCTTATGACTAATCTGTTTAGTACTCCACTGCGTAATCGAAGCGATGGAGTGATCGACTACTCGTGGGCTGAGCCCAAACTCCACGGCTATTCTGTGGGTGTATTAGAAAATTCTTATAAAATAGTTTTATTGTTTGAAATCATACGCGAATGCATTTCGTTGGGCGACCGGTTGCTGGTCTTCAGTC